TTTTTGTTATAGTAATTGAATATTTTTGTAAATGCATTTATATTTTTATAAGGAGACAGATTTACCTACATTGACTTATGTTCCATCAAAAAATATATTTCGAATTTTCGAATAGTAACTAAGTAACTGTCATTATAAATTATGAATACCGATTAAAAAACAGCAAGTAAGGTAATACATTTAAAACCATCACTGAAAGCAAAAAAAAATAGTAATCTTTCGATGTTCGTCAATAATAGGTGACTAATTTTCGGCCACTGAAAATCTCGAATGGTCATGAGAAGAAATATACAATTATTATTCTTGAATTTTATTTTATTCCTGACATTGTTAAATACGAATAGGAATGAATTAAATCTCATCACCATATAGATAGTTGTTATTATTTTATGTATACGGTGGATAGTACGGACTAAGATATATAGCTAGYTTAGCGTGGTGGATAGTATACCATCGCTGCATGCACAACATTATGTGATAAAATATTATCTGAAAATTGCCTCTTAAAAGGTACCTTCACACCACGGTTAATAGATATCTATTAGGGGGTGAATGTAAGATCCCACACGAGATATAGCAGGTAAAAATTACCCCTGGATATCCGTGCGTAAGTTCCCACACGAAAAAAAATACACTTGTACGTAAGTTCATACATGAAAAAAAATTATACCAAACACCAAGGGTTGGCAAAGAAAAGTAACTTAACTTAATTTAAAGTTAAAATTTTCTTATTTTCAAAATAAAAATTTCAGACACATAATAATGTTTATATAAATTGCTAATAATTTTAACTTTTAATTCGTTAATGCTCAGCCTTGCCAAACACAAACTTCCTCCCCACTTTACTCAGACTTAGAAATGACAATAATAACTTATATAACTTTTATAACTTAAAAATAATTATACACAGTATGACACTATGACTATGTGAAGTGTTTGAGCTTTCGCAATAAACCAAATCAAATTTGATTTTTTTCTATTACCTATTATTATTATTTTATACCTAAAAAAATTGAATTGGATTTTTTTTATCCAATACAAAAACAAAACAAATTTTAAGTTGTCATTCCCAAGTCTTAATAACTTAACTTTTTTCGTGTGGGAACTTACGTACAAGTGTATTTTTTTCGTGTGGGAACTTACATACGTACTCGCTTACCTGCTATATGTTTCGTGTGGGAACTTACCAAACCCCCTATTAGGCGTGCCTTCGCTCTACAGATGTCAGGTATAAATATTATATTAGATCGGTACACAGATTAGGATATAGAAGTCTGTGAATTGCTAACTGCTCTTATCGGTAATGAGGAGATTTAAAAGCCGGTAGCCGCCATTTTTAAAAAAGGCAGTTTAAGGTTAGTACCTAACTCAGAGTACAATATCATATTATTATATATAATTTACCTATTATTTAAAGTACCTACCTATTCGTAGTTAGGTATTTATGATTTTATTTATTTATATTTTTTGCTGTCGATCAAACAAGAAAAAAAGACGACTACTATATGGATAGGTAGGTATGTTAAACTTTTACCGAAAACGTTAACTTAAAATAAAGTATCAACTTATATCTTTTAGATAGGTATTGCCGGTTAAATAAATTTTGAATTTTAACATTATTCAGACAAATATTTGGATTGTYCGGTATAATAWCCTATACCGTTTACAGTTATAAGTCCGCATAGAAAATGCACAATGAGATAGGTAAAGAAATAAGATCGTTACATAGCTATTATTTGGTATTTATTTTATTTTCACTATTCAAATAATAGCCAGTTACCTACTTATTAATTTTTATTTTATCACAATTATTATTTATTTACTTACATATGAAGTCGTTAATCGTCCTTGCATGTTTTGAACATAAACTTCAAGGACAATATGAAGTTATTTAAAGTTTCCATATTTTTTTTTGTTTTTTTATCAACTTATTAATTTAATTTAAACGCGCTCTCGTGGTTGATTTTAGTGCAGCTTGTAGCAATGCGCTTTTCATAGTTTGTCTACAAAATCAGCAGAGATCGCGAATTAATTCTAAATAAATCAATACATTCAACACTACTGGATTAACTCCAGCACAGAGACAACGGAGTTATCGGGACACAGCGTTGCGAATCAAAAACATTATAGAAGATCATCGAAGTATTGGAAGTCCTGACTTCAATGACACCTTCAATTGTCGGCAGGGAATCCTCTCACAATTTTATAATCTTATTACAATATAGATGTTGGCGGTGATTAGCGGTTATCATTTTGAGCATTTATAACTATTTTTCATAATATCATCACAGATAATAATATTTAATATAGGTACTATAATCTTTTATATTATGGTCTCTGGTATTTTTCGTTATACGTTTCCAGTTTTCACATAATTGAGGTCCAAGTTTTCAGTATTTTCACGCGTATTTATGATCTGGAATAGCGAGGTAACCCGGTATCCTCGCCGTTAGTATGCCACTGATTGCGGACCGGGGTTAAATACATTATAGATATCCATATAAAATATCAACAAGATTGTGGATAATAAAAAATAGATATACAAATTGCCAAGTCCCCAGGAATAATATTTTTTAAATACAACTGCAATACCTTAACTATAAAAAAAGGTTAGGTATAAAATCGAAATATCCCATAAAAAATTGAYTCTTCTAAAAATAGATAATTTTGATTTTAAATTTTTTTAAACTTGGGGTTTCAGCAAGAATTACACATTAGGAACTTTGTATTACATCATGGCTTCGCTCAGAAAAAGGTAGCTCATATAAACAAAAATATGGCCGGACCAAACAATGAATATTCGGAAAACGGACATGGATATAAAATTTCAAGATCACACATGTAACAAATTTTAAATTATCACAGTTAATTATTTATTTTTTTAAATTTAATCTTACAACTATACAATACTTACAAATGTATAAATAATATTTATAATAACATATTATATTATATATCTTATTCTATATTCACGTTAAAACCCATATGTCAAAACTAAATTGTGGGGGCGCAGGTCAACAACATTTTACGAGTACCTATGATTGTGGACTGCATGAGGGTGACGGATGGACTGGTTAGGGTTGTCTAATCGCTGACTACAAATACAAGTCACAGCTCAGAACAGTTTTTAATGTGAATAGAGTGGGTAGGTATGCGTACAGTACACATAAATATATATATGTATATAATTAAAGTTAATTATTATTTTGTACAATTTAAGTTTTCATCACAATAATTCAAGAGTACAATTTATCTGAAAACATTTTAAAAAACAAAGTATTTAATGTACATAAGAAATATGTTACTGGCCAAATCTGTTTTCAAGTTAAATTACTTTGTTCAAAACGCATTATGATCAATCAGTTTAGACTAGAATAATCTAATTTTTCCTTAAACAGTAAAACCTGTTGTAACAGACACAATTATAAGGTCTGGGCAAAAAAATTTGTATGACTAGACATCTTTCTATAACATACACTGTACATCTCTCTATCTTTTGATRGTCCTATGAGAATCCCTTATAGGCAGATTTCAGTATATTAAGTTTTATGCTTCATAACAGGCGACAGGCCTATAATATATGTCCTAATAGGTTATTAAATAATAATAAAAGATAAATAAAGCTTTGATATTACTTATTAATGATTATCATTTGTTATAACAATGAACACAATTTTATTTAATGTAAAATGTAAATTATTAGCATAATTGAACTTTAATATTAGGACAAACTAGATCASGTTAGTGTTAACTGGTTGAATTATTTTAGTTCAGACCAAACTAATTTATCCTGACTTTTGGTTTAGACAGTAACATTATTCAATACACAATATGTAATACAGTAATACAGTCAATTGTTAAATCAAATTAATTAGGAGTACACAGTACAGTTWTTTTTTAATGTAATATATAATAAATTTCTTCATCCATTTTCCTATGATTTAAGCCCTTTTTACAGGATAATAGTCATAGTACTTATCTACCATAGGTACAATCTAGTTTTAAATTGTGTATAGCTAGTGTTCTTGCACTAGTACCTGATCAGTTGTTACTTTTGTTTATATGCATTTAATTTATTAAAATCAAAAAACAAATATTTTAAAYCAAATTAATAAATAATGATACAATTTATGTATTCTGATTGGCTGCAAATATTAGTATATTATTTAATAGTGCTAAAAATAAGACATGCTGACGAGTTCTATTAAAAAAAATTGTTCACTAGCTGGAATGATGCCTCCTTTAAAAGTTTTATCAATAAAAATTGTTGTAATTCATACAGACCTAAAAACTAGTTTACTATCTATCACACTAGGGAAAGTACAATAACTAAAACCATGTAAAACGGACTTTTTAAAAACAAAACCGGTTTTCAAAATTTAATATGATTAGGTATAGTAAATTTAGTTAGTTATTAAAAATATTGAAATTAGTTCAATTTTTAATGAACAAGCACAATTCATAATTTAAAATTATAGCAGAATATACAATTTATTGATATTTGATGATATATTTTTATTTATTATAATTGATTGTTTAAAATTTCAAAATGTTCATYTTCAAWTGCTTAGCACAATTCAATTTGATAGTCCCACTAAATCTTTGTAATTAAACTAATAAGTTGTAAGGAATATAACACTTTTTTAAACACATTACTATCTCATGAAGCTCTTGTTAAGTGCAGAGTATACAGTATTTTTAGAATCTCAGAAAACAAAAATATGTTGACATGAAGTCAGGTGATTAAGCTGGCCAATTTTTTTATCTTTTCTTCTAATTAATTTTTTGAGAAATAATTGTTCACTCTACAGTACCTTTAAGTGTACAAGCATAATGCCCCAGATCTTCACCTTGGATGAAGTATGCTAATTAATAATTAAAATTAACCTAATTTTAACATTATGTAAATGATCTTGAATTATAAGCCAGATTTTTATCAATTTTATCAAATATCAATAAGTATGTTATTTTATAAAATAACTATTTTTCTAATGCTTAAATTCAAAAATGTTTGACATTTTATAGTATGATAAATGGATAAATGAATAAATACAATATTACATTAAAATAAACTGCTCGGCATCATGTGATGTTACAAACTTGATTTACTGTCTTTCTAATAAATTAACGCACTATATTTTATAGATWTAAAGAAATGCTTTAGGCATGAAATTTAATRAACAAACAATGTTTTAGTAAAATAAATTTTAAAAGTTGACTATGCTATAATTACAGTTATAATTAATATTTTTTACGGTAGTAGTAATTTCTAGATTTGGATTTATAATTTTCATTACTTTTATAACTTTTGTAAACTTTGTAATCTTTAAAATCTTCGTAGTCCTCGTAGTCTCTGTAAGTTGGTACTAATCTGAAAAATAATTTAATATAATGCATTAGAAAAACTAACCCATCAACTTTTTCTGGATCATTAAATATTATTATGGTAAATCAAACATGAATATGTTTTGAGTAGTTTGTAAATATTTAAAATAAAAAGAAWTAGATAAACATTATTTTTTAACTTTGTCATAATTCTATAATCAGGTTAAGAGTTATTAGATATTAGCCAACATTTTACATTAGTATCTACATCAAGTGACAAAACTGAGGGCTCAATGATAAAGCCACTACCAATCATCACAAAGAGTTGACATAATAAGATAAATCTGTGGGTACAAAAGTGATTAGATTATTGAACTATTTTTAATCTGAATGGAGTATAGTGACTCATTATCTCAATTAGCTTTTCTCTAATGTAAAACATTTAATTGTACATAGAATATGTTATGTGGGATAAAATCATGAACAATTATATCTTATTCCATTGAAAAACTGTTCAATGTAAAAAAAAATATATTCATAATGATCAACAAAATTTTAAGATTATTTGTTTGACATTATACTTAAAATCTATAAATATTGTTATTACTTTTTTTTCTTAGATTTCTTTATATGTCTTGGACTTTTACTTCTCTGCTTAATTTCCAAAGGTGTTCTGCTTCTATTCCTTTTATTGAATGGCTTTCTATAAGATGAATTAATATAATTAACACAACATTTATGTTTATGCGCGTATATGTTATATATTTAAGAGTTTGGGA